TCCAATCACCGTCAACGGGAGAAACTTGAAGGAAGTAACCTCCTTCACTTATCTAGGAAGCACTGTTTCAACTACAGGCGGGACGGACGAGGACGTCAAAGTCAGAATCGGAAAAGCAAGACAGGCATTCATTAGCCTGAAACCAGTGTGGAGATCTTCTGCACTCAGCATGCGGAACAAGATACGGATTTTCAACACCAACGTCAAGTCAGTGCTCTTGTATGGCTCAGAGACTTGGCGCGTCACGAAAGGCATTTCCAATAAACTACAGACATTCATCAACAACTGCTTACGCTCGCTGCTGAAGATCAGATGGCCAGAAAAAATAAGCAACAAGGAACTCTGGGAACGAACCAACCAAGAACCTATCACGCAACAAATATGCAGGAAGAAGTGGAGATGGATTGGCCATGCACTGAGAAGGCCGACTGAGGACATCACGCGTCAGGCCAGTTGCTCGAGTGGAATCCCCATGGGAAGCGACGAGTTGGACGTCGGTGCCGAGGGTGACATGGAGGAGGTCGTGCGAGGAGGAAATGAGAGGTTGTGGGCTGTCGTGGGACCAGGTTCAAAAGATCTCAGAGAACAGAGGTCACTGGAGGCGTGCTACTGAAGCCCTATGTTCCACTAGGAACCCAAGGGACTAATAATAATAATAATAATAATAGTCATTCGACATCTGATTGGAGCTCAGAAACAGGAGACCGGTGAAAGTTGTTCAACTTTCATAGCTGCCTTGACGAGTTGAAGTGGGCATTCTAGAATGTTGGTCGTCAGGTCTTATGGCAATGTCTGTCACTGAAAGAGGTATTACTTATGTATGGTACTTTGCTGAAGTCTCTGTACTATAAAAAGATTGGGCATGTGTGAGTATGTGTTAAGTTTTCAGGTGAATTGTTCACGTCAGGTGTGTCCCTTCTCTGTATTCCTATTCGTTTTTTTTAGTGTCTGGCTAATGGAGGTTTCTCTGTCTTCCTCTGATTTCACAGAAATTAATCTTTTCGCAGGAGAATCCTTTGTATACCGAGAGTACATAGGTAACACATTCCTGTTTGGCGAAGACACTGGAAAGATACAGAGTACTCTGAACACATTGAGTGACGATTTGAGAATTCTTAGGATGCGTGTCCCATCACACAAATGCAAATTTTCGCTGCACGAATGGCTGTTTTGTTATATTTTGTAACAGTATGGAGCGAAACGGTTGAACGCGTTCACCACTTCACCTACCTGAGAAGTCAGTCGGGTCAGCCCGGATGCGTCAGTGAACACTGAAATCTCTGCTCGGATATAAAGGTCTTGACTGGCTTTCGGCAACCTACGTAATTCGTGGCTCTGCTGTCATATCCGATTGCCTGCTAAGGGTCAAGTGTACTACGTTGCAGTTCGTTGTGTTTTACTACGTGGCTGTGAAACATTTCCATTAGGGTAGAGAAAATGAAATGGCTTTATATGTTTGACTACCGTTGCCTTTGTAGCATAGGCTGCGTGTCGTGATGTCATTACGTGTACATCGCATAAATCAGTTGTAGAGTTTAAGGGAGGAGTATCTGGTCAGTTAATGAGAATGTGAACCTTGCTTGACTTAGGTAGCTGTAACTTGTTTTGCTTATGCCCAGTCACCGTCTACTCCTCGTACAATGTTAGCTCAAGTGGGTTTAGGCTGGAAAATGCCTTGAAGCGGCCATTCTATAACATGGCATCAATGAACGAAGTCTTTGACAGCAAACACCAGGAGTTGGGGACTACGTAATATTGCTCATAATCGATCTCAGTGTCGCAGATGTGTCCATACATTTTCATCTTAATCGTCCTACTGAGTTCAATATTTCCTTATTCTTCCTTCTCTTTTACTACTTTCCGCTTTTGACTTATTCTTTTGTATTTCTTTGTCTTTCATGATACTGCTCTCTCGCTTAATGTACTGATGTGAGGTGTGGTATCTTGAAGCTTTATGCAGTAATACCTGGCCCTATATCATTGGTAATAATGAAATAACATGTTTTTGTAAGGTGATTCCAAAATTGTTTTTGCTGCTTTTTTTATTATCTCGACTCACTTTTCTCTTAACTTCTCAATAGGAATGCGAGCTATTGGCGTATATTTCTACGTTCTCTATTTCATCATGACTATACGCCCGCACTGGTTTAGTTGTCTTTCTTTCTATTACTTTACTGTTTGATTAGGAAAACCGTTTCTATCCTATCGAAATGAAAATTCTTTGTTAGTTTGTGGAACGTAATTTAAAATACCCGTTGAATCAAACACTTTAATCGCTTTTGTTTTGAAGCTCCGAATTTTTTTCTTCATTCTTGCAATATTTACCTCATCACTGTTGAATTATTTCCCTTCTAAGTGCCAGCAGGACAACTATGTTTGCTAATTTTATTGTCCTGCCTCTTCTTCATATCCTGTTCAGATGGATTGATATTTCAGTGTTTTCTTTCATACTTTTTCCAAATACCACCACTTTCAGTTTCACTTAAAGAAAGAATACATGTTGTTCTTCACCTTTTTGAAGCAGAAAAAAACATCTGTTCTATTCAGTCTTTTTGTTTCTCTACAATGGTTAGAGATGGAAACAGTTGTTGTACCGGTATAAACATATTTTCGTTATTTCGTTTTGTCTTTGTGTAAATAGTTGAATTTTCATGAGCTCTCCTCTCAATTTACTAAAGTTTTAATCAAACCACTTCTAATCACTGAACTGTTTTTTTTCTTTGGGTGTACTTTTCTTATCATTTTTCACATAAGAGATTTAATACTTTCATGGTCGTTGTTGTTATGGCAAGAAATAATCTTACCAACTGAATTGCAGTCAGCTTTCTAATTTGGCCTTTGGGACAATTTAATCGATTGAAGTTTTCACTTAATGCATAACTGTTTGGTTTCATGGCTTAGACTGATCACGTGCATACTTTTCCCGACACCATTTTGAAACTCTATTCTCTGCTTGTTATACCTTAAATCTCTTTCGTTAGTTCATAACACCTTTGCGACAGGAGATCAATTTGTGACCTGGGCTGAATGTTTTCTATCGGAAGCCTTTTTGACACCACAGTTAGACAGTTTAAAAACTACTCAGCTGTGAGAAATGTCATCACGGGGAGTGCAATTTATAAATCACTTGCTAATTGACCATTGCGATCATTGTCAAGCCAGTTTCTCACTGAAAGCAGCTTCGATATTGTCTTCGTTAAATGGCTTCTCTTTTTATGTATGACTTTCATTCTGATCAGTAGCAGATGATTGTCTGTGTATAGTTGTAGCAACCGATGGACGTTTTCCAGTCAAGCAGTGTACTAACTGACTCCTTGTGTATAGCGTTTCGTATTCCTCCAAGATTGTGAAAACTGTCATTTGAGTCGTAGGGTAATTTCTGCATATTCACAGTATTGGTGGATGCAGTTAAGTGAATAACCGCACTTGATTTATGATTATGTGTCTCACAAACGCAGCACACATCCATGGCACAAGACGCACAGTTTCCGCCAGCGAAGCTTATTCTCTGATTTCAATGAGAGTGTGACCATTGAAAACCACTTTGTGTAGTTTAGAGACTGACTTCAGTAGACTACAGATGCCATTCCCAGCTCTGAAATCGTTGTCGAGATCTCTACAACGGGAACAAATCAAGCATTAGGTAGGAATATGAACAAGAAACACGAAGAAATATTCGAAATTGAAGACGTGGTGGGCTGATAATGATCTGAGGGAACTTGAGTACTGACTGAGTTGTGGGAGTGGTTGCCACTTCCTGGCTTTTCGTGTTTGAGAGGTTACTTGTTACTGACTCATGTGAAAAAGAAATTGGATTAGTAAATGTGGTACCTAGCTGTAGAGTCCAATGCACATCTACTGGATGGAGGTCAGTCACGCATGACCTTTTTGGAAGTTTCAGGTGTGAGTTGATTTTTGTATGCAGTTAAAAGCCTGTATTATCGGTACTGGAATGTTGTGGAGTAGGTGTGAGGGTGGGGGAGTTCTTTGTTGTTGAGGTTGATTGTTTGTAGCTTTTCTTCCCATAGGGAAGGCAGCGTCAGCATGGTGCCGCTGTAACCTGAAAGGAGCATGTTACTGCTGTCGCACCCTGTCCAGTCAGCAGTGAGACTTCGTCATCGAATCCCAATCGCAGCGTAATAATCTACACTATAATGGTGACTTCTTGTCTCACCACTAACGAACAGAACTTTCTTGTGTGGTACAAGTGGAACAAGCGTCCCACTAGCATAACTCGTTGGGTCATGTTTTCCTACTTATGCAAAATGAACGTGTATAAAATTATTCTGCACAAGCTTACTGCTATATAGGTAAATCTCATTGGTGAATTTTATGTAAGTGACATAGGTAGACAGATACTTCTTGATGCATACATTCGTCCAGTTAATCGGTTGATCTGAGATCTGTGACCAAGTTCAAAGTATGGTACGAAAGAGTGCAAGAGACCGAAAGGTTACAACCTTGTATTGTATTTTCACGCACAATGAGATAGAATTGGGTGTGATTTCATTCGGTTTTAAATTATCAACAATAATATTTTGGACACATATTCAAGTGGGTAACAATAATGGTGTATAATGTGAGTAAAAGTTGATCAGATTTACGTGTATCACAAATTCCTTTTTTCAAACAGAATCATTTCTTTAAAGTTTCAACTATAGGTATCTTCATCCCATTAATAACGTCGTGGAACACGCAGAGACCATTACTGAATTCATGATTAATGTTTCCAGTCTGAAAAGCAATTCACTCGCCGGAGTCGTCAAACTATACTGACTTACGAATCTGTGAATATACTTCCTCCTTATTTTGTACCTCTGCTAAGTGTTTGTCTGTATATCTCCCTACACATAATACTTCTTTGTATAGTCGCTTATACACGTAATAACTATTATTGTAGATGAATCGTATCTTTGTATGTATAGTTTATTGTCGAATTACGTACTTAAAGCATCCCATTTGTTCACGGATATCCCTTCACTGAAATCATTTGTTTGTAGGTCATGTCTGGCAAGAATCTTGACACTCTGGAATTGATGTGGCTTGCAAGTTTCCAGCAAGAACAGGATAATAGTGGACGAATTATCAGTCCATTTTCTATTGGATGCAATTCAGCACGTAGTAAGGTGGCTAGTTTAAAAGGATTAGGTCAACAAAAACGAATGAATCTACTATTGAAACAACGTTACAATGAAAACAAAAACTAATATCTGAAATTAATCGACTAAACGATGAACTAGCCACATGAGAAAAGAAGTAAGTGAATTCATTCGTCCGTTTGTCTTTTGAATTTTTACACCTTTTAAAAGTTCATGTAATAAAGTATTAACTTAATATGGAGTGATGCTCAGGAGTCAAAGATGAGTTAATTTCACTTGAAAGTAATGACAAACAGGTAGACAAAATCAACGTAGAACCTTGCACACAAGTGCATCGGTTCAAAATGCCACGCTTCATAGTATTATGCGAAGGCAAGTGGACAGAAAAAGAGTGATATCAAAGTTGACACAGCTGTGGGACAGAATAAGCAATTCGAAGATAAATATCAAGGAAAATATTCAGGCTTCATAAGACGTTGGTATTCATCACGACCTAGTATCATTTTTGAGAAACATTGGAAATCTAGTAGCACTGGTCAGCTGTTTCGCCCAGCATGGAACTCTTCAGCAGCGCGTACCCATCAGTATTGACGAAGTATAGAACAAATAAAGGTTCATTTATTGTGACAGGTCTTTTATATTTCAAGCAATAGTTAGTTAACCAAGGAAATAAAATTATTTATATGAAGCAAAGAACGTCGCAATAATAAAAAGGTCATAAAATATGAAGCATTTAAAAGTTGATTCAATTGTCATTTATGTATTAATTTATTTCTCGTAAACTATAAAAAGTTTCTAAAATAATTCGGAATTACTCTCATCGGTGTTTCATTGGTAATCAACAACTGCTCAATCCACTGATTATTTATAGGTAGATGTTGGGTGAAGATTGTATACTGAAAAGAAGCCTGGGTCGTGACAAGGTTCGAACTGGTGGCCTCCGGGTTATTGACCTGTTGGTCTCCAAGCTGATCTACAGGACTTATCTGCTGACCAGGTGTTAAGATCACTTTAATCATTGAGGGTTTTGTCCGGGTGTTATGTGGATCTGTGACTCAAATTTTTGCTGTTACTAACTGCTGAGTCTGCCGATTGCTAAAACGTCTATCTTAGTTTTACCAATAGTTGATTATTTGAAGGCTATTTTCTATTTTCCTTCTTATGACTAAAATATCTCTCTTACTGTATTTCATCAGCAGATAAATGTACTGTTACTTGTGTGTGTACGTGTGATTGTCTGTCACCTGTCTTTCAAATCATGTTAAAACAGTCAAAGTATTACAGGTAGTCAAGGAAATCACTGTCTTGCATACACATATCTATAGCAACAACAATAACAATTAAACACGTTTGTTACAATATCGCCATTAAGAACTCTAGGTGTTTGTGTGTGCACTTACGCGAATAAACTTGAAAATCATCTTTTTTAAAAATATCAATAAGCTGTGTGCCAATTTCTGTTTTTTTCTGTCCATTCAATCTAAGTCAGTCATCCAACTCATTGAATATATATATATATATATATATATATATATATATATATATATATATATATATATATATATATACAGATCATTCATTTTATAATTGACATGATTGCACACTGTTCTTACTAGTAACAAATTAAAGATTCCTGTTACATAAAATCAGTTGAAATATAATAGTGACAGAAAGTGTATTTTGACAATGCTTATGCCTTTAGCTACTTTTCTGTTTAGTATAAAATTACCTAATGTTACAAGGATATTATCACTAGGTGTAGATTATGCTTTGAGTGTGCCTCAACGCGTGAACTGCTGATACCGATATTATTATTATTATTATTATTATTATTATTATTATTATTATTATTATTATTATTATTATTCAAATGAAGACGTTTATTGTAAGCGTTCAATTCATTCACTTGTCACTAAACCTGAAAATTTATTGGATGCTACATCAATTTGTTTGCTGTTTCAGGATTTATATCAAGTATTCAAGGCGTCCTATAAGATAAGCGATTGCTAAAACGTCTAATATTTTTCATTTCGATACTGGAATAGTTTATCAATTCCTGTTGTTTATGAATGAATTTTCCAATGTAGGCAAAAACAGAGCTCTTGACTCTTACAACAGTCCTTTGTAGTCAGTGGTTTATATATATCCTTCACTGACGGGTTTTCATATCAGAAGACTAGTTACGTGCTATAGAATATTACTGATGCAATAAAAGATACTTCAATAGATAGCTTTCATCAGTTTGGTAATCAACACTGACTGACAGTTTATTTTCATGTTTATCTGCTTATATGAAGACGGGCACAAAAATGCACATGCAAACAAATGTATTCAGTTGTTATTCTTGTTATCGTAGTGGTTTGTATGAGACAGTAATTTTCTGTCTACCTCTACCCACCTGTAATACTTCGACACTTTTAACATGATCTGAAAGGACAGCTGGCAGGCTCACATGCACTCAAGTAATATTACATCATTTTAAAATAAAATGGATCCATATTGTACTGGTCCAATGTGTTTGTTCTTGCTTTTTAAAGTTGACTAAGTGAAATATCTATATAAGACATCATTTTGTTGACGAAACACAGAAAGAGAGAAAAACAGAAGCCTCTACATACACTATCAAGGAATTCAGCTGTTATCTATGACTAATGATATGCTGATGAAGTTTGCTCTGAACCATATTAGTAGGCATCTACAATTACCAGTTTATTAAGGGCTTTGGGATTCGTTTTCTTATGTATAGCATTTTTGTTCCATCAGATGTCAATAACATATTGTCCTTCCTTTCATTGCTGGTGAACTTTAAAGACTGTATCGTGTTTTACAAGTTATGCCTTCTAGTAAGGTACTTGGATCGCTTCGCTTCTTTCGCCATACAGATTTATGCGAAATACAACTAGACCGATTACCGTATGATATGGTTATGTAGCCATGTTCAATCTTTCTTCTCGTAGTCGTTTTCAGGAGCATCGTCATCTCAGGGTTTGTTAGATTAAAGCTTCGACCAATTTATTTATGTCTATTGCTTTACTATGTATACATGTACGTTATTTTTTATCGTGTGATTATAAAGCGCCATCTGAAAGTGACTGCAAATAAGTCAATCACCAACGCAGCTTTAACAATGAGAACACATTTCAAACAGTCTGATCATACACATCATAGGTATTCATATGAAAATGTATAACGGCAAGGGATGACAATATTAAAAAATCGGTCAAGCAGGAAGGCCAAAATAACAATGGGAATCAATAGGGTGAAAACATATTGAACTTGATTTCAGAGTTGAATTCACTAAGGGTGAATTAATGTGATAATAAATTATTTTTGAACACATAAAGGTAGTTTAAACTTCCTACTAGCTAAGGTTTCGACAAATTCAAGGATGCGTCCCCAACACGTTTTGTTAACAAGTCTAAAGGAAGTAGCAACGTCAATCCTGTGACCTATCGCAACAACGTGTTTCACGATGGAAGAATTTTGACGTCTACTACCAACTTTCATGGGTTCGGGTTATTCAGTTTGCTTCTGAAGCCACTTTCGGATATGTTTTGTCGATTTTGTCTTCGACAAAAAGAGCAGTTGAGAAGCTTATTCACTGTTTACTGGTTTTGAATACATGCAAATGTTGAATAGTAGACAAGTATTTTGTTGTTGTTTAAAAGTTTAGTTTAAAACTATTTCCTTCATGCCTCTAACTCTTCCACCCACACCGTCTTGGATAATCGGTTAGCGTTACAAGACTTAGAATATTTGGTGTTGTTCATAATCCAGTATATAAATCTGTACCAGACTGCTGAGTTACTTTGTTTTTCTCATTATTATTATTACTATTGTTGTCTAAAAGGGATAAACAAACAAACTAACAAAATCAATATCTCTTCAATAATTTTGTTTTCATTTTACTCCTCATCGTCACCATCGTAATAAAGTATGAAAATAAATTACGTTTGAATGAATCGCATACAATGTCAATTGAGTCAGAATTAACGTCTCTTAAGGAACAGTTACGTTCAATTTCAATGGCTAGATCATCACCATCACAACAAGATATAGATGATGAATCCTCTGGATTACGTCACCATCAACAACATGGCCTTCATAATCACCATCATCAAAATTATTACTACCATCAACAACAACAGCAACAACAGAATTTTCGTAAACCATTGTTGGGCAAACAGATTTACAGCTCAGATAGTTGTTCTAGCTTAGCTAACAATAATGGTAATAATCTTGATTGTGATTCTACCCTGAGAAAACCATTTGGCTTTACACGTCCTAGTTCTACTATACCCTCCACGGTAAGTATATTTTTCTGACGTATGCCTCCTCTTTATCTTCTTAGTATTAGTATAGCATGGCAAGAGTAGTGAGATCCCTAGTAATCTGTCGCATGAATGATTAGCAGACCATTGAAGTTGATAATTTACTCACTATTATTTCTAATATTTCCTTTAGTCATTATTATTATTATTATTATTACTATCGTTTTCGTGTGGGTTGAGAGAATAATAAGTTAACTGAGCTGGAAGGCAGTAGGACTATCTGGCCATTAATCTAAACGATACATTGATTATGTTGCAAAAATGGCTTTATTCCATTTGATAGGTGTTTAGTTGTCAACTTAGAGGTCACCTGCAGCATAATCCCATACAGTTTCTTTAATGTATTGACACTTCTGATCCTATTAAAGTATTATTCAATCATTGTATTGATTGAAATCGAAGCTAAGAAGTGTTTATGAACTAAACTCTAAGTAGCTAATATCAAATTAGATGAAGTAAAAATTATATCTTAACCTAAAATTGAATCAACTACTTTCAAGACTGCGACTCATCGTCATCAAGATCAACATAGGCCCAGGCATTATCGCTTAACGATTCACGTTGCCACACCTCATATCAGCACATCAAGTAACAAGACAATGAAATGGAAGATGAAGAAAGAAAGAAAAACCGGTCAAAGGAAGCAGAAGTAAAGAGTGGTAAAAGATAGGAAGGGGGGATGAAAAAATGATGAGATTACGTTCAGCGGTTAAGATGAAGATAGTGTGTGTATGCATCTGCACCAATGACATCGGTTCTGAGGCATACCACGTAAAGTCTCCAACCACTGGTTTCTCCTGTCCCGTGGACCCCAACCGTCTAGTCTGCATCGTCCTACATGGCTCGAACAAACAGTCAACGACTTCATGCATTGGTGCCATATTTTAATTTCACCGTCGCGAAACTTTTTCCAGACTGGGCCTACTTTGGCCAACATTGTGTGGTGAGTCAGACGGCGACCAGGCATACATAACACATGTCCCAACCATCTCAGTCGACGAAGGTTCACAACCACATCAACTGACTTACCTCTCCTGCCTAAAACTCTACGTCTGACTTCTGCGTTACGTGGTGACACCACGAAACACAGCCTACGCTACGAAGGCAACGGTGGTCAAACATCTGAAGCCTTCTCATGTTTTCCACCTTCGATGTCCATGTTTCACAGCTATACAGTAGGATAGAGCGGACTGCACCACAGTACACTTGATCCTTAATAGACAAGACTGTGACTATTAAATAATTTCACTTCACTAACCCGGTGAATGATGATGCTTACTGATGAGGAAATATGCTCAAATATCATCAAGGAAAGATTTTCAGCCAACGAAGAGTGGGCAGCTGGTTTTTTGAATCTCTTCCTGTGCTGTTTAACAGTGATTTTCGAACTGCATATTAGTAAAGTACTAGCAATCATTTTTCAGGCGTACCGGTATGTCTTTTGAAGCATATTATAAATGCAACTTCTTGGTCATTTTTTTTATATGATAATAAATACATTCGGACATCAATCAGAATTGTATCAGGCGTTGTAAATGAAATCCTATTTTGAACTTCAATTTCACCAATTGGCTGTCGTTCTGTATCATTGACTGGGGTCTGTGTGACAACTTTGTCCTAAGTGTTTTGGTAGTCTTAGATCATAGTGCAGCTCATCGACCTATCTTTCACTATTTATTACGAAATTAAAAGATGGTTTTACGCCGTTAAAAGCAAACGACGTACAAATAAATGTTTTCTTGATTACAAATGAGACGGTCGTGACAACTTTGAAGTAGGGAGAATCTTGACGGATTATTTTCACCGACGTCTCGCAATGGGTGAATCAGTTATGCAACTTGGATTGAATAAAGTGTTATCTATGTGTTTCAGTGATCGTATAATACTCGATTGGGAATTCCTGCTAACTGATGGGTTGTAAATCAAGAATTTTCTTTATGTACCCACAATACATCAACCAGTGACAATGGGTCACTGATCACTGGAGTATTGTTCACACAATACTAAAAGATACGGAAGACAAAATTGGTAAAGCAAGATTTATTCCTCCGGAAAAAGGCAAAAATCTAACTGAAAACAGGTTTTTATACAGTTATTTTACTGGGCCAACAACTTTTGAGTTTAGTATTGAGTAATTGTCCTCTTAGGTACTGGTTAATACTGAACTAATAAAATATCAATAACACGTCCTTCGATCGAGGTTAAAAACGAATGCTTAGTCCATATTTTTCATGACAAACATTGACTAATCAGCTGTATTTCTGTCCGTTCTAACATGTATATTTGTGTTTAGCGAAGGAAATCCTATTGTGACAAATATCCAATTATTTGAAACCTGAATGGTGCTTTTTACCTGTGTGCCAGATTGACTCAAGCAGATTGCAGTTCTATGCATAAGTCCGTTAATTGGAACTTTATGATTCACCAAGCTGTTACTTAAAAGCATAAATCTCCAAGTACCACAGTAATTATATTTGTCTGAATGTCTTCAATCAGTACAGAAACATTGTCATTAAGAGATATTCGATACCAGTGATTTGTAACCGATATTATCTGACTGAATTACAATGAGTAATGTTCGGAGAGTATATCCACTGTCACAGTTTTATTTGAATTTATGGTATATCCTTCTTAGAAGGACACCATATTCCCTTGAATTTCTAGGGGTTCATTCCTTATCCAAAAGTCTTGTAATTAGTTTGTTCTACATATACGATATAATCCTGTCCTCTGAACACCTTAATTGTTGGAGTTTAGTTGCTTGTGATATGTTCCGTATGTATCGAATGCCAGTGGTGATCTACAGTGACATCTGTTATTTCTAATAACGAGGGTTTAAGTGGTTAAAGCATCTGCCAACATACCGATTATCTTTGCTCTATTACTATTGAGTAAATTATTAGCACAAGCATAGAAATCCCAACTGTAATTCAGCAAACTACAATATTCAAGGCACCAGAGAAATATCTGATTCCTTATTGAGTTTTATGTCTACTGCTCAACGTTGCCTCTATTGTTACATGCAGTTAAGACACAACTGTTAAAATAGGCCTAAACGTATATTCAATCGTATGTTTCTTCGAAGTATTATTTGTTTGCAGTGGAACTGTTGATTGAAGTGTTCATGTTAGCTATAACATAAGGAAAAAGAGTTAATAACTAGTGCTATCAATTCGCTTTCTCTGGAATGGCTGTGTAGTGTGTTACACTGGTTGAAGAGAAGAATAATGACTAGATCAAATGAACATGGTAATAATCCATGAAGTCACTGGCTTCAACCTAGTACTGGTGCACTTTTACGCCAGTTTGTTCTTTGTTTCATACATGCTTAATTGAAGCATATGAAAAAGTCCCTAGGCTGTTTGACTTCATTGCAACACCATGAAAAATTCAAACTGCGTCATAATTCACTAGGGTGACAGACAATTTCATATTCGAATGGTTCATGTTTTACCAGTGTTTCAAATAGACAATGTACCTTTTGATCTGGTATATGAAGGTTGGATTACTGTTTGCATAGAGTGAAACTATGGTTCTTTGGTTTAAATACTTAGTCTTCAACTATTCAGTTGAAATCCAGTTGTACTAATCAAACCTGAGTAGTCAGTTGTATTACTAAATGTCTCACAATAGGTATGGTTCACAGTCTAACGCATAAACGTTCACGGAGTTTCTGGGTTGCAACTAATGGTTTTCACGTTTTTCTTCTACTTTGCATGTTTTGAACCTTATCATCTGCGATAAAACTCTACATCATTTTGTTTACAGCCTCAATCATCTGTTTCGCACGAACCTATTGGGAAGTATCCCAACATCAATAACAATAATATTAATTCAAAAGCAATGACAGTGAACACTTGTTCAGTCGGTAATTCACGTAATTCCACTGAAATGCTGCCTTCATCTATTGCTTCTCCTATGACGATCCTGTAATAACGAATTTTAAGTTTTATGGGATTCTGGAAGTTGAACCGAAACGTGGCAAACGCAATAAGCTACACTGGGAATCATGTTTTGCACAGGTAGATAGAATTTTATGGTTATGAAAATAATGCTTATGTCTGAACACTGTTTATTTAAATTGCCTAATTCACTCACAGTGTAAAGTTTTAATACTTTAGGTTTGATCAACAAAATTAACTTATGTTGGTGATGGATAGTGGCTAGGAGTGGAATCCACAACATACTTTTCGTCCTATTTGAGACTCATCAGCTGCATGTACCTGCCCCCACGTACAAGTAACAACACACAGAATGAACGTATCCTGTATGTTTTTTAATCTACCTTTGAAATTCCAGATCTACCTGTTTTCTTTATTGATCTATCCACCTGTATAGTTCAGTCATCCTCAAACCTTTCTTGATGTCTCGAACTTGACTGCGGAATAAAACAACTCTCAAACTCAGAGCAGTTATGGATTATGAAGTCGTATATACGCACTATTGATGCCTATCAACAAGGCATAAACCTCAGTTTTATTACCGCACATTCAGTCTCATTCTCATACACGTGCTTCTACTTTCATGCTCCTCATGCTTAACAAAATCTTCATGCATGTGAATATACTTTGTGTTTTAACAGATTACTGCCACATAATGCTTCAGAGTACTTATGTCATTCTCATCATTATGTATGGAAAGTCACATACATATTACTACTACTACTACTACCTACTACTACTACCTACTACTACTACTACTACTACCTACTACTACTCCCCAATCGTAGTGGCGAAATCATGTCGGCGTTGTATCAGCGGAGATCGTCGGCGTCATGGTAATGTAATCGTTTTTTAACTCGCTTGTTACATGTATAAACAATAAAGCACTGCTTTCACTTTGGGGCGATTTCCTACGTATTTTTTTCGAGCTTGTTGTGAATCGATCTTATTTACTGGTTTATATTTTAAACTCGGTAATTTGTCCATACTTCCATGAAGTTAATCGCTAAGTTATGAGACGTTATACATATATTTCTGATTCTTTCTGTTACTTGTTGATACAGAGAAGAAAAGTTTCCAGATGTGTAGATATGTTGCCTAATCACTCCGTATGAGTTTGCTTTTAATTTGAAAGACAATGACTCAGATATTCCTCTTTCCCCTTTATCTACATAAGTTACTTTTTACGGTTGTCACGTTGGTTATCTTACTACAATAGGTAGTGAGTTATATCTGAAATAGTATGCATACTTTACTGTGTGACGCATTGGATAAACTTTTTAAACTAGAACTCTAGAAGCTTACATTTCTCTGAAGTAATGGGGACTGATGACAGTTTTGAGTACGATATAAAAAAAGTGTGAACACAAATACTAAACCCAAGTGGTGCGACCCACACTTTGGTTCACCCTCATCATTTCAGGAATATCCCACCGGATATATCCAGTGATCATTTCACTTTTTTGTCAGTCCAGTTGACTTATGTAGCCATAATGCAACTGCTTCCATATACACTGTATGTAACGCTATTATGTTGGCTGTCACGAATTCCCGCTTCTTTTACGGACTTTCGATGATCCTGGTGCATGCAACTACATTGTATGTGCCTACTATAAAACGGTAAAAGCTGCTGTATCTCATATCGAACATATATTCGTGCGCACTTTTTAATCATATGACTCAATATGTATGCACTAGTTCGTGCACTTTGCAACCAGCCACGAGTTGTGTGAGGGCTAGTGATACCATTTAGCTAATTAAACCTCTATATATGAGGCAGGACTCAAACCCACGACTCAATGATTGAAAGTTGAGTAGGTGATCGAATAAGCCACATCTCTACTATAGAATATATAATTTGACTCTAAACTTCCGAATAAAATGGCCATACTCATTGTATTTTTGATATCTGGCTAGCGTAGTAAGGTAAAACTGTATATTGTTTATAACATACACTTATTATCCTTCTCTCGACTTTGTTTGCATTGTTATCTTTCATGCAGTCTGTTAATTTCTGCGTTTTTCTCATATTTTATATTTTTCATGTAGCTTACACGCAGTCATCTAATGCTATGGGATATACCAAGTGATTTATGTAAACGTGTGCATGAATTACAAAACAAGTATATAGATGTGTCAAATTTTGTTGCATCTACAATCAACTCAAATAGCAATAGTTTAAATTCACGCTTAGAAATGCCATTGAATGCGTTGTATCATGTACGCTCTGTGAATTCATGTGATGTCTGTCATGAACGTGTTGAAGATTTGCCTCGAGTTTTTCAAATTATCTTTGATCGTCAACGCTTGAATAATAATAATAATAATAACAAGAACACTGGTATTACTAATGGTAACAGTAGTAATATTGCATATAACAGCAGTGGTATAAAACAGTCTTCAAGCGGTAATAGTGTACTTGGTGGGCTATCAAGCTCAAGTTCTTCAGGCAAGTTATTTTTAACTTTCCACTGTTATTCATACAACTGAATTTGTAACAGAAAATAATCACGTTTGATATATATCTGTATTTATTCATCGTGATCTAATGTCACATCTTCAGTCAAGATCTCATTCATTACACTACAGTACACAGTGGTATATTGCTTAACATTCTAAGTGTCCTTATCTGTGATTTAATTACACAGTCAAACTAATAACCTTTTTACATATAGTTGTCTATGAAGTTAATCCGTGGGTACTTCTGAAGGTAATGCACGTATCTGTTACAAAGAAGAATAACGAATTTGACCGGGACAATACAGAAAACCTACAATGTTTGTTTCAAAAGTCTCACTAGGATTTCCAGAAACATATCCTTCAAACTTACATCCACAGATATAGACTCAGTCTACAGTCCAGTTCATCATCATTATCTATGAACATAGGACCAGGCATTACTGCGTAATGCTCCGAGTTGCCGCAGCTCACATCAGCACATCAAGTAAAAAGGCACTGAAGTAGAGGATGAAGAAAAAAAATTCACTCAAAAGAAATATAAAGTACTAAAAGAGAGAAAGGAAGTACAAGAAAATGGTAAAATTCAGTAAAGCGTTAAGATGAGGACAATGTGTATACATCTGCGCCACTGGCATCGGTTCCGAACCATATCACCTATAGATTCCGACCACTGGTTCCTCTTGTCCCGCGGACCTCAACCACCTAGTCTGCATCGCCCCACATGGCTCAAACCGACAGTCAAAGACTTCATACATTGATGCACAGTCCAGTTAGCAGGGAAATAATTGTTTGTCATCCAAGTGGAAAATGATGAAAATGAACAATACTCAAGCACAGTGTTAATAGTAAACGACACAATTACACTTCAACAAGCATTCTTCTGCAGAATGAATCAATAAAATTTAATTTCAAGGTTTGGTAATAATCTCTTCCCAACTTACAATTGGATAATATTGAGAGTCAAGGAAACACAACCTAAACATTGATCTTTTTGAAGTTATTGCTGATAATGTCACTAAGCCTGTGGTGAAAGCGTCTATGACAAACTAATCAAACTGTCATCAACTGTTATTTTTGGTGGACCTCTGAAATACAATCGTATTTCTACGGAAATGACTATGCTATTTTTACTGACCTAAAAGAGTCGTGCGAAAAATTCTGTGTTCATCTCTTCCACATACCCTGGAAATAATTTTCAGACGTAATAATTAGTTTGAAACAGAAATATGTCCGAATAATTTACAATTGTAAAATTTTGATTCTTAACTAAATGAATCTGAAGCACCGATAAACTTTATGTCAAACTTTCTTTACAACATTGAAATTAAATTTGCCTATATTCGTAACATAGTTCAACCATAGTAATTAAAAAGCTTACTTTTTAAAGTACTTGAGCCATATTCAACTTAATGAGGATTCGAGTAATCAACTAGTATAACAAACTTGCTTATTAAATGTTATCATTTTGACTATCCGAGTGAGATAGCCGTGGTTTAGCAGGCTAATATTGCTACTTTTGATTACTGAAAGGGAAATGAATATTTGGGCCACAGCGGGATTCAAACCAACGACCACTAGTAACCAGTACAATTGACTTCTGAGTTATTTTCAAGTATAGTCAGCATGTTTAAAAGATGTATAAAAAACGTCGATTGAAAAATCTCCTTAAACTCTTACCCCACAAGTTTACATTCCTGATAGTGTATAGCTTTCAAACAGTAGGGGTAATCATAGACAATTTTGAAGATTTGTTGCACCGAGTCCTTAAGTAGTTGTCCTGTAAGCTCTGCTTAGAAATTAAGTTTACGTCCATAAGGGGGGAACTATAACCGAACAGTTCCTGGGTTACTTTTTGTAACAATTAGTCTTATCTTAAATGACTGGTGGTTGCTCAATTGTGCCTTAAAAGTGTTCAGTAGTAACATCACTGATTATAATGAATGAAATGTGAGTATCATTCTTCAAACATGCCTGAACTTTTTGGAAGTGATATTGAGGCATCCCAAAATCTACAAAACTTGGTCGATAATCTTCAATCAGATATATTGGTGTAGAGATGTAAGCCGTTTATCTTGATGGTCATATTGCAAACTCTGTCCTTTACAATCCCCACTCAACACTGAAGACTAATCACATTGCATGTAACTTGTTACCCTTGGGATATTATGCCAGTTTACAGAAGCAGTATTCCATCAAATGAACTATACCTTTTTTTCTGTCTTATATTACAATGACCTTTAGTGCATGTGATATACTGGTGGCTTAAAATATTCTCCTATGCTAATGTTCGCACATTGTAGTATCGATTATCTCACTTTTAGGGAAGCAAAGTTGAACAAATATTAAATGTACAAGATTAGAATTGCTTTCCTTCTATTATGTTCGCTTGCTATTTAAATTCTTGACTAGTTTTATGGGTAAAAAGCTCACTGTTTTCAAAAATCCCTTCAATTTATGTAAACTGTCAGATTCTGTAGAAAACTGCGAAAAAAGTGTGTAGGAACACACACAAAAGTTCTCCTTTTTTGCGCTGATTTATACATTAAATATTATCTAGGAATATTATATATATATATATATATATATATATATATATATATACGTCATTTTGTATGAAGCTCCATATTAAGGCGATTTCTTTGGTTGGTTAGAAGGATGTCTCTATTAAGCTATGCTACGCTAAAAAAGACACTATAAAATCGACTTCTTCAAAGTCAGATATGGATCTACACTGTTACAATGCATTTGCATGGGAGAGTGACCAAATCAACGTAGAGCCTTGCATACAAGTGCATCTTTCCAAGTTGCCACCCTTCACAACAGCATGCTAGAAAACAAGTAGAGTGGAAAAAGGTGTATGGGAGGGGAAGGAATTTGAAAATCAAGGTTATTAGAAATGTTCAAGCCTTGGACGACTTCATTGTGACGGATTTTCAACCGTATGACGAAGGTTCTCCAGCCATTTATTTCTGTCGTTTCGAGGACCCCAAGCAGACAGTCTACCATCCCTACACAGCTGATACCAGCAGTTAGAAACTTCATGAACTGGTGCCACATGCTGGTATGACTACCGTATACGTTATTTCAACCCATACCATCTTCAGCTAACAATGCACCTGGAGGCAGGTGGCAGCTTCACGTGCTCAACACATGTCGAAGCCAACTCAGTCGGTGAGATTTCACAGCCGCATCGACTGAGTTGCCTGTCATGCCTAGAACCCTTCGCCTAACCTCGACATTGTTCACACATTGATTTTACCAATGCTGTGGAGAAAACTACTTTCAAAATTTTGTAATCTCTTCGTATTTCCTGCTTTCACCGGTCATGCTTCACAATCGCATAATAAGATGAAGTGAACGTGGTATTCAGTAGTTAGCTGATTTGGCAGAGTATACTTCTCTACAGAAGTAGATTGTATTAAAAAGGTGGATGAATTTGTTAATTAGTTTCACTGTTTGGTTCAATGGATAGTTATTTTTTGTGGCAAATGAACAGTTTATTTTCATGGATTCGAATCATATTTTCCCATCATTCTCCTTGATGTTGTTTATCTCCATTTACTTTCATCCAAAAATGTACCCCCCTTTTTATTGGTTTTTTCCATATGCCGACATTAAAAATGTCGGCTTCGTTTCATTTTATATCTTCGAAGATGTTGGATTTATGCTTTATGACTATGTCGTCAGTCTCATTTGTCTTTGATATCAAGAGAAAATCAAAGAAATAATAAGTATGATCTTAGATGTGAGAAGCCGTGAACATCTTAAAAGTGCCTACTCGTACAATCACCTACCGTGATAATACAGTGCTTGGGTTTCAGAGGTTATGACTCATAAGCGCATAAGAAACCGTTATTCTCATTGTTACGGCTTTTCGTACAACGAAAGATGTGACAGAGTTGAGCAACTCTGAATATGACTATGTAGGAGTGTCTCTACGTACTGACGACTATGTTAACCATGCGGCTGAATGTAAAAGACACTTTTGCGGTTAGTAATCAAGTTTTATCATATACAATGAAAGTATGTTTAGATTTGGCTTCAGCTCATTGTCCTTTAAAGTGAACAATGATGATACCGCTGACATGATACTACGACATTTTCTGTTGGGGGTTGACCTTAGGTTTCAGAAAACAATGGAACACACTATTTCGCTTCATTGTTATTTGGTCAAAAAATTGGAGCTGGATCCACTGAGCGTAAGTTAAGGAACATAGAAGTTTGTTGACATATTCTTTTGTTTCTAAACGTTTGTAAGCTTTCCAAGCACTAGTGTGAATTGTAGTATCTATCTATGTAGTGTCCATTTGACAATAAGATGAAGTGTTGACTGTTTTCCCTTTTTCATCCGTTCACAGTATACTTTATTAAATGACCTCGATTACCTTCATTGATGTCTGTCATTCATTAATGGATGGAAAAGTAAGCATCTGTTATTATTTGCCTTTCTATCTTAGATTCCTTTGCGTTTTCCTACGTAAGATTTTTCGATTTCTGCAATTCCTACAATACCTTGACAGGTAAATAGGCATTATAAATGAGTACAATCATACTCAAGACCGCTCAAAATCTTTTCAGAAATACATCTGTTTAATGAACCAGTTAGTCTCTTCTCTCTCATGGGAACAACAAAAATTCCATTACCTAATATCTACTGAATAACTTGTAAATGTCTTTGTATGAATGCAAATCTAAAGTCTAATTCTCTATTAAATTTGTTTATCTTTACATAGTACACAGGGGAACAGTATTATTCACTGGCTGGTAATATTCCCAGCATGATTTCTTTCTTTCTCATAATTATATCAAGATAGTTTGATATGATGAGGAATCAGGAGCTGTAAGATCCTAAAGTGGAAATCCGATAGCTGTATGATTTGTTTGATATGATCATTCGCAACGGACTGTGTTTGAAACGCTATCAACTAAACTTTACTGTTTGTACTATATCAAAATAAAGTATTTACTATAAAGTTTTCTGACTAGACTTGAATTGAAATGGGCTGTTCGAGAGATAGCATTTGTAATGGCAGGGAGTGCTATTGGTAATCCAGATGGATTGTATGACAGGAGTTGAATCAACCGATTCTAGGCAGCTACCCAAATGCTTCAATGACTTGGTCTTTGCGACCCAACTGAGTGACTAAATGTCTGCTTCAAAACAAGCACCAAGTGTGGTACGATGATATTTAGTGTTTGCTTAGTTGAAAAAAATGCCAGGGATGGGCAAAACAAAGGAATAGAATAAATTCATCAAGTTGGAAACTTCTAGGCTCCCTTTGCAAAAGGCTCCATGAGGTGTTAGGAATCAGTTGCTGAGGAAACTTGGTGATATGACTGAAAATTTCCCACAGTGACTTAGATCTATTCATTCTTAATAGTCTTTGAAATTTCGACCATTTTCACCACTATTCATTCAATTATTCTCCTTAATCTCATTTATTTAAAAAGAAGTAATACCACTCTTTTTTGATCCACTTCCTTTTGTGTGCTGTTTTGAAGTTTAATAATTTGAAGTACTGTAGTTTTGTGTAAGGTTATCTGTTGGTTTGTTTATCTGTCTTTCCATCCTATCTTTTCAATCTAACTGAAATCGAACGTCAGTTCTCTGGTGTTGATTTAGTTGGTAAACTGGATGTATGGTTGGATTTTTCCGTTTAAGTTATGACGCATAGGCGAAGTGTGACATCTTAGTCATCATTTTTGTAATTGGTCTTTTTTGTAGTCTTTCTTGAGCACCTGTTTACGGTAACGCTGATTAGTAAATAAATAACTTTTGTCTTCCATTCTGTACTCTAATTATGCTATACAAATGTAGACTGACAATAAAATGCAGTTGCATAATTACACCTTTGAAGTGACTCTAAAGGTCAGTCTAACAATCACTAAAATATAAAACTTGGGGACTGTGGTGGAACAACTAAAATGAGCAATTAGAACCCCGCACACAAGTGCGTCGCTTCACATTGCCGTGCTTCATAGTAGTATACAAAGAACAAATGGATAGGAAAAGAGTGATATCGAAGTAGATAAAGTTGTGTGAAAGAATAAACAATCTAAAGGTAACAGCTAGTGCAAATATTCCAGCTTTAAAAGATGTCAAGAAGTGAATATATCTGGGGTATTGTAACCGACTTTCAGTCGTGTCACCAAGACTCCTCAGCTGCCGATTCCTATCGTCTTGGGGACCCCAACCAGGTAGTCTACATCTCACACGGGTCACATCAACAGTCAGGGACTTCATTGACTGGTGCCACATCTTGGTTTGGCCACCCTGAACCCTCTTCCAACCCAATCCAACCTCCCTAGCATGGCACGTTGAGGTAGGCAGTGGGTCGACATGCGCAGAACATTCCTAAACCATCTCAGTCGACTAAGGTTCACACCCTCACCAATCGACTTGCCTAGTACCCTTCGCCTGACCTCAGCATTGCTCACACAGTGATTCCACCAAACGTGAGTCATTCTACAGAGTCACCTATGATGGAAAACCTGTTACCATCTTCTACTTCCAACGGCCATGGCTCAGTTCATTGCTTGGGGAGAATGTCCAGTAAAAAAGATAGAACAACTTTTGCATGCGGTTCTATTTGCTAAAAGATTAACATACGATAATTGAAGTTATATTTCAGGCATGAATTAACTTAAGAATAGAGAGTGTATTTTATATGAAAACTTAGTTCACGTTAAATTTCAAACCTCAAGCATTTACAAAGAGCCCTAGGACTGAGCTATGAAATCCAACTGCCAGCTGCTTCTAAATATTATTTCAAACTATCTGTCTGCATGCCAACCCTATTTGCATGCTGGGTAGATCATTTTTATTTCATGAATAATCTTCACTGTTATTCCGACTGACTGGTTTGGATTCATTTCATTGATGAATTTATTCATAGAATTTTCATTCAACTGACTGTATCTGAGATCCACTTCCCAATTCTTTCTCGTGAATCAGCTCATCTGAATCTATTTTCCCAATAACCATCCATTCTGATAAAGTAGATGATATTAGGTGTCAAGATGATTTAGAAATTCAAACTGTTAATTGATGTCGCCGTTCTGGTTTGGAACCAAAGGTATCAGTACCGTTGCTAAATCAATGGAAGCTCTACTGTTCACATCATATTGATCCATTCCATCTTCTTTAACGAAGAGTTCTGCGATTTTGTGTTTTGGGTACTTGATTACTACCCACCACTGCATCATAGATCCTAATTCGGTGGTATTGAGTGAGTATTACTTACAACCAAGTACATAGGCTTTTACTTGATTGTTCAATGGCATTGGATTTATGTATAACTTCAATGAAATGGATAGACGAAGAATTCCATGAACTAACTGTGAATTTTTCAAATGATAAGAAGTAAACACGCAGACCTCGAAACTTTTCATAAGTGATCTGAGGTACTTTTCTAAGTACTGTACAAATTTTTACTTTCCTGATTAGTGAATGGCTGGCTGACTTTTGTGAAATACTGATGCACTGCCAGTGTTTATGGGACAATGTCTCTTATGTCGTTTAAACATCCCACCTTATTTGAAAGATTAATACAAACGCCACTTACTAGTATTTCATTTACTTGACAGATTTCAGTATTGAGCATTGAAACTTGTTACGAAATGATATTTTGCTATCAGTTTAGAGCTGAATACAATCAAATGTTTCCAGATGGCGAATAAATTGTGGATAGCCCCCACGATCTGTGTCGAAATTAAGACCCATACATCTTATCACCCCCTATATTTGTTTATTCCCTGTATTAATTACATTCATCATTGTCTTCACTTAATTATTTCACTCCTTTTGTTGATTTCCAGTTTAAAGTTTTGTCAATTTTTCATCCAACTAACTATTGATGTAACATGCTTTATATTTTGTGTATACTTGTCGATCTGATGGTCATGAAGTGGATTTAAATACAACAACCGTTTCAATAAAAGTCTAAATGTTTCTTCGTTTATTTTTCATTGTTCGCACTCCATTAGTGAGATGCTGAATATTAGTTTGAAAATGATTTCGGCTGGAGATTCTTTCCTGAACTCCGAAAAGAAAGACTATGCTGTATTGCGTAGGATTTCGAAGACTGTTACTACGGCAAGTGATGCACCACTAATTGCTGATAAATATGGTTGTGAATAAGCATCTGAACTCTTTTAGACAGCTAACTAAAAGTATTTTATCTAATGACAAGCTTCGTCTGCATCTGCACCTCTCTCCATATCTGTCCTCTAGGAAGACAAGAAGCAAATATAATAAACTCTATGCACGCTCAACTGTATGCAACAGTTCAACCATGCCTTATTTCACTTGTGCAGTGTTTGAAGAAAATCATGTTAGACATAGCATTATCAATTACCTTTGCAATAGCGAACACTTATCATGTTTGTGAAACCACTAAGCATTTCGACAATTCTATTATTTGTTAGTATGTACCGTCAAACAGCACCACTTTCAAGATATATTTAAAACATGTTGTACAATGGGTAAACTTGTATAATAACACTTGCTGAGAATTCCGTACTGTGAACAAAATTATGGTTCTGAATAAGGCAGAAATATTACTATTATTCTGTCGGCTAATGAACATAAATAAATACTGGATATCTTATATTTATCTTGGTGACCAGCGATGGAATCCAGGAAGCATGTTGCGTCATATTTAGGACTTGTCAAACGGATTTACCTGCACTTCAGTTAGTGGTGTTGGTCCCACTGAGACTGGAATACAGTACCTACCGTTTAGAACGCCTAAAGGTTATCCACTAGGCCACTGAATATATTTTTTCACCATATCTGTGGACTGTTGTATTGTACTCACCTATGATCCTTGTATACATCTAAGTCGAAGCCCTAACACTTTGCTACAAACGTCTTCGTTTTTTAACCTTAGATAATTATCATGATTACCTTTTTCAGCTCTATTCACCTCGTAATATTCAGTGCACCGTACCCCTTATTATCATTCCTATCTGACTATGGAAGTCGGGGATTCTTGTTAGAATCTCTTAGTTATGCATAGATTTAAGGGCCGTCATCATCTCTCGTATTTTATTCATTCGATAGGTGTGTTTAAGCCAGTTTGGAGTTAAATAAATAAATGAAAGCAAATATAATGACTGATGGCTATTTTCTATTTTTCTCACTTTCTTTCAGGTGATTCTGCTAACCTACCGCGTAAATCTAGTCTTGGATCTACTGCGATCTTTTCAACCTCTAGTCAACATCCTGCGAATTCACGTCGTGTTGTACGAACTAACTCTGCGTCTGGTTCTCATGCACACTCTGTGTCAAACTCCACCAATACTAATATTAATAAACGCTCTAATCATATTGAGAATTCTACTCCTGGGCATTCAATCAACCCTCTATCTGATGATTCAGCACATAATGCAGAGTCGAGTACAATTTACACTAGAGGACATGTTCTACAACGTATTCTCTTCAGATCGTATGCAACTTGTGATCTGTGTCAAAATTCGTGCTCTAGTGTTTTTCATCCTCCCTTAGCCTATCAGTGTACAGATTGTCAAGTAAGCGAGCAAGCAGCAGTAAACTAACAAATAAAATGATTTTTGAGATGTGTCAAGCAGTCGGAAGGGAAGCGGATGCCATCTGCAGACCTTGGGTGATAGTTGCACTATATCTCAAATTGGAAAAAGTTGGAAACTATGACCCATTGCACTCCGACTAAATGGTTGAATAGTTAACGCGTTCACCGTGAAACTCGAAGGTCCTGAGTTGGACCCCTATCCGGGTCATAGGTGCGTACTGCCGAAGAGTCCCATAATAGGACGAAACAGCTTTCCAGTGCTCCCGGTTTTCCAGTGGTTCCCCAAGTGATGTTAGTCCGTGATGAATATTACCTCAAAAAAATGATTTATCTATCTGAGTGGTTTTCTGGAGGACATAATAGTTGTATTCAACTACTGATTCGAAATATAGTAGTTCTCTTCTTACAACTTCCCCCTTCATCATATCATTTATGTTCTAAAATAATGGTCACTCTATCATTTAATGCAAGCAGTCTTTTCGCTGTATACTTTACCTCAGTCTTCTGATGGTCTACATGCATTCTAGTATTTACTTTCGATACCATGAGACCAGTTAATCTTAGTCAGTGTCTTCAGTGTTGTTGCCTTTATGAAAAACATCAAGACAAGAAGGTTGTTTGCAGAGTAAATTATCCTGATCTTGTTTTATGGTTTCCTGATACACTGTCCTCAGCCTAGAGGCACAATAATCGTCATAGATAAACAGGAATTAATTGCCATAGTGAAAAGTGTTAGTAGATTTACCATTTACTCTCTATACTTCCGATACTAGTTCTGTTGATATTCTGAGTAAACTGTTAGCCATAATTTTGTAGACTTCAGCACCAAAACCTGAATTGAATAATTTGCGCATTGGGTAAATACAGGAAATATATCTGTAAAATCTCAGTATGGTAGAAAAATCAATTCTTATGTTTCTCTACCTCGTGGAAGCTGCTTCTTCAGAAAATGAGACTTTTACAAATTATTCAGTAAATAGTAAGAGAATACAAATGAGATCATGTTGTTCATACATACATGTGTATGTATGGAGTAAGCAACCCTGGAAGTTCACCGTTTGATACTCTACTTGGGTAGTTTGATTTCTTCCCTAAAATGTTTGTAGCCATCACACCTCTGTAAGTAAGTAAATACTATCTAAACGCATCCTACTTTCATTCAAATTGACTTATTAGATGTATGTATGACACACAGTTAAACAGTATTATTTACTGGATTCTGTTTCAGACACAATTTATCTTGATATGACCATGGACAATAGACTGTGTCGAAAACGTGATCCAGTAAATAAAACTGTTCCAATGTATCTGATACATATACATCTAATAAATCAACCAGAGCAGAAGTACATTCTACCACAGTGCTCAGGTTTTACTCTATATTACTGCAACCTACTTTCGTTGTAGATCCTAGTTTCTTTGATGTCTTCTAAACTCAATTGGATATCAGTATCATCAAAATAGATTAATCATTTTCTTTTCCCCTTAGTGTAATATGTTGAGATTTTTGTGTTTAAATCGCTTACATCTACTTTTAGTATGAATGCGTGTTTATATTATTCATCTTTGAGCAATAGTTGAAATTATCTGTTCATAAGTTATCATTGCTTATTTCTATTCCATTCTCACATTTTCTTGCTTCCACATCGTTTAGATTAAACTTCACGCATACCATTTGGAAAGTAATGATTATCCTCTTCCTCAATGCGCTAAAGCTGTCGGTGTCTGCCTGTTACGAGCACGTACAGTTCAAGATAAGGAACAGTGGATTGAGTATATGTTATTGGCTATGAAAGTGATGAAATCTCTATCATCAACTCCAAATCCAACGATTCGTAATCCAACAATGTGGAAGTGCCAGTGTCATCAGCACAACAACAACAACCTATAGCAACAACACCGCGCAGTATATCTTCACATGGATGTAATCCCTTGCATTGTGAGTTTTAAACTGCAGTAATGTGTATAAGCGTATGTTTAGACCTCACACTACTACTAATTTAAACAATTCACATCATTATATAAAGGTGAAGCAAAGCGAAAACACAACAATATTATTGGTATTCGTAAGAGAGAGAATAAAGATATTTATTGTTACGATTAAGTGTAAATACATCTGTGAAACTACTATCATTATTTGTCATAATCTCTTGAATCTCCAGTCATAGATTTTAATTTACTTGCGGACTTTAACCTTGAGCCCTACATCTACCAATGTGATTGAAACCATCAGTTAAACACTTCACGCGTTGAATCCATGTCTTGGTCTAATTACTCCTAACTTTTCTCTAACCTAACCATACTGCAGCTAATACTGAGATTTGGTGAAGACGGTAACTCGTGCATAACTTATGCCTCAATCACTTCAATCGATGAATTTTAACAAACCCATCACCTGACTTTCGTCCCTTACATAATACTCAAAACAACCTCTAACCTGCATATATGGGGATTCAATCACACATAAGCAATGCTAAAAAAGTGGTGACAGGTAAATATGTGATCTTCTTTAAAAAATCACTTTTAATTACATTGTTTTGCAAACATGGAGTAGGAAAAAGTGAAATACTACAAAGTACACTCAGTCATTCAAATATATCACCGACACGACATTGGTGAAGCTCATTTGAGCCTTTTTTTATATCCGTAACAAGGTTTCATCTATCGCCACTTCACCAAAGTTTGGTCTAACTTCTTAGGTGGCCAGAGCATGTAGCTACTTCACTTCCTACTAACTGAAGGCCATCAATGTAAATCAGTCCTTATGAAATAACACACTTGAAAAGCTTAAAACTTATTTTACACATCCTTGAACTGTTATTCAATATGTTCAGAAGACTCTACATTCTGTCAGTATCTTCACGTAGCCACACTATGTCGTTTAAGGCAAGTGGGTTAATCTTGATGAAGTGTGAGAGAAATAGAGTTATCTCCACTTCGATTAAATTCAGCACAAATTGATGCAGTCCACGTCTCTAACAGTGTAAACGCTCCAGATAACTTTTCCGTAGACCTTTACATAATGGAAAGTGTTTGGTTGTATAGACTATGGTGAAGCAAGCAATTTTTCCTTAAGACCTGGTTGTGGAAGCCGAATTCCTCTATTTCAAAAAGTGTGTAGTGTATCGGGCGCAGAAATGACTCCCAGATCCGAGCCATAATAAAGCTTACATCTAAACATTTACAGTTAGGTTTAAAATCTGTCTGATTTCCTCAGGTTCTCTTCTATATGGTCAATTGGTCATCGATTGGCAATGGAATCTAGAACCTCAGGTACTTTTCTCGGAAAGTTGTATTTTTTATGATTGGCTAACAGACCTCTGACCATGTTCAGAGATTCCTTGAGTTAATTAGTGTCTTTGAAATCCATGGTGAACTCAATTATTACTCACACTATTATATTTTCTAATTTTAACATCTAGCCATGTCGCCTAGTGTCCCGCCAACTCCAGCATCGAGTTTTGCGACACCTATACGTTATATTAATTTAACTCCACCATCTGATCATCAAATTTCACATGCTCGATCAAAGTCTTCTGTTTTTGTTCAGGATTCCCTTAAGTCTCATTCACGTGCAGAAAACTCGTCTGCCAACAGTAGCAATGAATTTTCATCATTATCACATCAATCGCATATTCCTCCATTAATATCATATCCCTCACGTCCAACTTTTACTCCAACTACTATTATCAATAACAACAATAATTATTATTATACAGCAACATCAGTAGAAGCAATAGTATCTTCAACATCGCCTACAACAGGAACAGTCAATAATCATGAAAATCAGATGAGTCGAAGTTTTACTCTTGGCTTGACAAAATATCGAAGTGAAGATTATGCAGATTGTGCTATCAGCTACACAAATGATTATCCAACCATAACAGCAATTCGATCCATTTCAGTAGCAGACAGTTCGAATTGTAACAGTAACAGCTATAATAACAATATTGTTAGTAATATGAATATAAGCAAAATATCAAATGATCTTCCCCTGCCTATTCTTCTACCGTTTCACACAAGTTCAACTGGATCCAAAGAATCAACAGATTGTGATATTTCACCGTAATCTTCACGGTGTCTTTGATATTCTGTTCAGGTGGGTAAATCTACCTCTTTCACATGTTTGATCTTTCCGTTCTAATTGAGTGGAAATATATACACATATATAGGTGGATATATTCAAAGTTTAGTGTTCACATTTAATTGTCTGTAGAAGTTATTAAATTCAATGAGATGAAGTGTAGGATACTACTCTTGGAGGATTGTGTTTTGTACTTATGAATTGGTAGAGCTATGGTTCGCTGAATCAGGCGATGAACTTTAAAATATTCAACTGCTTATTTGAACCCCACTTCATGTATAAAGGTTTAACTAGTCAGACAGTTTTATTAGCCTAGACGCAATATTTATGGCTCATTGTTTATTACACGATTCTGTAAGCGATTGCTGAATTACATATTTTATTATTTACTTATTTATCGACAGAATACTATAACACCATTGGTTGTGGGTGAAATTGAATTAAAAAGCAGTCAAATCTGGTTGCATAACTCACCTGTTAGTGCGAAACCAGTTAGGTAAGTTAATTTGAACTCTGTTGAAACTCAAACTTTAACAACCTTTGATCGAATTTCGCGTTGACTAGGGTTAACAGTTAGTTGGTAATTCAGTTGATGGTTTGTTGGCATTAATTGGTTTTAAAGTAGTTTCCATGATAGAATGGCGTCCGTCAGAGAACGATTCAGAAACAGGGAGCACTAGAAAGGTGTTCTGTTACAGTTAATGATCACTCAGCAGCTCATACTACACCTATAATGAAGCCATTGATGCGCACTGCTGAGCACTCCTAAACTAGGATACAATATTTGTTTAATGGTCTCAAGTTTTGATTCATTCACCAGATGTTGTCAATCTCTGGTGAAAACTATTTTCAAATCAATTAATTGGCAAAGGCCACCATTTATATCGAAGAAAATAGAAATAACCTCAGCAAACTTGGGCACATTTTTGTGCAGCAGGCAATGAACCACTCCTATTTTGTTGGGGAGGTGGGGAGGCTAATTATACTACCTGGCTACCGAACCTCGGTAGGTGGAGCCGTGGCTCGAACCCCTGACCCATTGGTTGAAAGTAATCTCACTAGCCATACCCCCATTAATTATACTGTCATTACTAAACGATTTCTACTTCGAACAAAAGAGGTAAATTTTCCCAGAAAAAGGATCTAACTGTAATTAAAACCGTTAGCCAATCACACCACTACTTCAATGCGCACAAATTCTTCACACTTGAAAAAATACTTGTAAAGTAATGAAGTGAAATAAATGTCTACGATATACAATGGTATAATTCAACTGAACTTACAGCCTTCGTATCATGCTGTTTGTATTATCCCGTCATTGATTGAACCGAATTGGTCCGTCTCTATTGGCATATAGGCTTCTGTATGGATGCCTCAGTATCACCCGTATTTTCGATTTCGATATGATAATACAAAGTGGCTAGCAGGGAACCCAGAATGCGCGTTTCATCCTATTTGGGACTCATTAGCTGGGTGTGGATAACGCTATGGGTTTGGAGCAATTGGTCTCTGGTTCGGGTCTTAGTGGAAACAACATCGCTCACTGAAAGGCAGACACATCCACCTGATGATTTCCGAATAGGACGGAACAACTATCCTGGATTCCACTCCCAGCCATTATCTGTCATCAATTAGCCTTCGTGTTTACTTGATAAGTGCTTAAGGTTATGCGAACTTTAGACAATACACTTTGTGACCTTAGTAGTTGGTATTTAGGAAGTGGGTAGTCAAATACATTGTCTTTTACAATATACGGGTTCAAATTACAACTACAGTTTCGGTGGCATAGATGATTTCTACTACTTCTTGAAAGAGGTGAAGCCCGTACATACCAAACGGTTTTAGATTTCCACTTCATCCGGTAAAAGTATTCACTCAATACATGTTATATGAGTATTGTATGTTGAAAAGACTTTCCAATCGTCAGATTAATTTTACAGCAATTCAGTGGTAGTCAAATTATCCTTTTGCGTTTATGTTGCTCTACATCGACCCTTTTCACTCTGGTAGTCTGACTAGTTATTACGCTATTGGTGTGATAGTAGTAGTCAGTTAGTATCTTTGAGCTTTTTTTTCCCGCATTTGTATATTGTTGACCACTGTTGACACAAATCTTGATCAAAGATCATTGTGATATGAGTTTCATTGAAATTCAAGAACAGACTACTTTGAAGATAAGGTTACGAGAACATTTAGTGGAAGATATGTTTATATATATATATATATATATATATATATATATATATATATGAAACGAGTCTTGCGAAGTTTTTCATATTTTCAGGTGTTTATTTTCAATGGTTCCCCAACTGATATCAGTCCATGATGAATACTACCTCTAAACAATTGTATGATTCATTTTCACACCACTGAAAATTCTCATATTTTTTATGGCTATCAGTTAGGGTTTTAAAAGGGAATAGTATAATTCAGCATGATGAGCTTATTTTTCTCTACATATTTGTACATACCTTCGATGTTAGCCAATACATCTTTCTCCCTTTAATTCTCCCTCCTATAATGTAGAATCAACCACAGTATGGTCTTGTTATCAACTGCCAATAATGTTACCTTGCCATACCGCATAATTTAAAATAGCAAGAGAAGCCGAAATTGGTCGTCTGTGCAAATGACCTCATCGTTTATATTTCAAAACATAATCAACCGGGATTAAATCCCTTTACTTATCCTTTTAATTTTCTGTGTTTTTATTTCAATTCCAATTTCATTTACAAATATGTATACTCATATTCATTTCCCCTCCATCTATCTCTGCGTTTTCATTTGTTTTTTTGTCTTTTTATTTTTTAATTTTGTTGTTGTTGCAAACTTACACCCCTACAACAGCTAAGAGTTTAGACTCGGTTTACCCATTGTTCACAACTAATATTGCATCTCACACTTAGCTTTCCTTTGTTACTTTTGCTCCATCTATTCGTTTGAACGAACTGAATATGGTGAAGTATATTTCTAAATGACAATTTCGGTGTATGTGCGTGGCGCATACATATCGTTTTGCTGAATTTTAACCTGATCCAACGTCTTTTTAATTTTTCTATTTTGTTGGGTTCATTATTGTTAAGAGTTTATTCATCTCTTCTCTCTAGGGATTTATTTTCTAAACACATTTTATTGCATATAAAATACATACGTATACATAGGAAGTTTTTTCTCAGTTATGCAAATTATGGATCAGAATGCATACCTCAACATGTATGCATATATAACTGCTATTATAGGTAATGGGAACTAGCAGTCTACGAACGAAACAAACCTAATGCCCAAAAGACTCTAGTCGCTAATCAGAACGTCAACCATCACCACAATAATACCACTGGCACGTGAAGACAAGAAGAGAAGACGGACCGTTGACAGAGGGCTTTTACTGTCTTAACAACAGTCAAAACAGTTGAGAGCGATGCTGAATATATACATTCTAAACGACCTTGACAACACTAAATTCACTGATAAGTTAAAAGAGTTAACAACCGATGAGAGTTCGGCCTTCACTAGTAGTGGGAAAAACGAAAGCTAGCAACACCGCCAAGAAGGCGTGAAAATAGCAATAATAAAGTTATTTTAGGGTTACAGACAATATCCAGCAAAAGTTAGGCAAAATTACAGGTATATAACACCTGCCCCTCAAAAAAAAACTCCTAGAACAATAAAATTTAGTACCTCTATCTTTTTGGGTCGATTCGGAAACGTACTATTTGAGATCTGTGATCAGATCGTCTCCCAGGTAAAAATTCTTTTTCGACCTCTGGTTTCCCTTAGATTGATTCTGCATCGACTAGTGGTAGTTTAAAAGTTTCAGATAGCAGTTCCAAGAGTATGTTGGGTTCTGAGAATGTGGCGTGGCTACGTTGTAACTGATTTTTGTGTCCCATCCACCGTTCATGTCTAACTTTAACATCGTACATCAGAGTTCCACGTTGACTCTCTATCAGACCATCTGCCCATTTTCCTTTTCCTAGTCGATGATGGCGGGCGTAGACCTGGTCCCTTTTGTGGAAATACCCTACAGTATTTTTCCGTTGAACTGGAGATGATGGGAACACGTTTTCCGAACATGAGGCGCTCATTAATGATTCTGAGACCGTAACGGCGGTGGAATAACTTCCTAAGGTCATGATTTGATACTGATGCTGGCCAAGAGTTTTGGATGGACCTCATAGCTTGTTGTAAATTTTCGTCTTGTTTTGTGGCCTGTCTTACTTGCTCTGCCGTAGTGGGAAGCTGCGTAAATTGTGGACATAGCTTTATGTCTTCTTCATTTGACGAGGGGTAGTCGCCTATTAAGCACGAGAAGGCATCTGTGTGGCAGAGACCTTCTGTCCGGCGATATTTGATGCTAAAGTCCTACGTCAATAAAATCACCTTTCATCGTAGTCTGTTTTCAGAGTAAACTGGGATAGCTTTTCTTGACCAAGAACCGGAAAGGGGGGGCATGTGATCTGTTAGTAAAGTAAATCTCCTACAGTGTAGCATCTTATGAAACCGAGCTGCGTAGACTAAAACGATACCCTCCTTCTTTATCTGCGCGTATCGCTTTTCTGGTTCAGAAAGGGAGCGTCCCGTCAGGAAATCCATGCAATAGGATGGCACTGACTCCTGTAGCTGAAGCGTCTTCTGCGACTATAATGAGTAACTTTGCGTCGAAGTGTGAAAGTAGCAATTCAGAACCGAGGACACTCTTCAGTCGTTTGACGGCTTCATCACACTCTTTGGACTAGACTCACAGATGCTCTTTTTGTCATAGGTGGTTCAGTGTTCCGCGGATATTATGTAATGATGGCAGGAAGGTTGAGTAATAGGTAATGATTCCTGAGAAAGAGCAAAGCGCCGGCACATTTTTCGGGACCTGTATCTATTCTCGGGTGAGGTCGTCATCCACTCGCATCAAATAATAAAGCCCAAATACTTTACGTACTGTAGAAGAAATTGACGTTTTTCTGCTCTTAACCATAGTCCGTTGTCAGCTATCTTCAGGAGCACAAGCCGTACTTGCTTTCATAATCCTTCTAGGGGAACCAGAACTCTCAGTATATCGTTAAAGTAAGTAGCAGCTCCCGGAATCCCAGATAGGATAGTATCCATTAGTTGCTAGAATATGGCGGGGCAGTCTCAAATCCATAGGTTAACCCATAGTATTGGAATAAACCTCGATCTATGTTTATCTTTAGTAGCTTGCAGCACTCATCTGAAACTTCTACCAAATCAATTTTGCAAAGGCTCTCCAGTCATTCAGGGTGCTAGACAAGTAATCTGCAACCGGCAGCAGATAACTGCTGTTCTAGAGCTACATTTAAACCTGTCAAGAAACTGGCAAAAATACAGATGAAACCATTTGCTTTTCAAAACCATGATAGAAGCTGCCCACGATGAACAGGTTACTGGTTTTATAACTCAGCTTTTACAATTTGATGTGAGACATACGGAACAGGTCTTTTGGGCGAAAAACTGGTGTGGCGTCAGGTTGCAATAGTTAGACCGACCGGTAGCTGTTACCTTGACGTGGTGGTCGGTCTTGCATATCACAACAACTCAACGAGCTACAGTGGTTGTCCTATCAAATCAGAAAGGTCTGTTGGATAATAGTAAGACGAAAATCAGTTACCGTTTTAGTGTAAATTACCACACTATGATGAGGATCTGAGAGCGAATTCATACTGCTGACTGGATTGAGTGAGACAGCAGTAAGTTGTTTCTCTTGAATGACCAGCAGTCCCACGCTGATGCTGCCATTTCGATGGGAAGGGTGAGTTAGAAAAGGTCTACCCTAAAAATTCCTGTTAACCTCGCCTGGTTAACTAGTTCACTAGTTACTAGCCGGTCCTAAGCCCGGGTAAAGAGGGAAGGTTGGGCATAGGGCTAGCAACCCTACCCCATAAAACAAATCTAACCGCCAAGAAACTACAAAGCACAAACGATATATAAAAAATAAAAACAAACTTATTCCCCGTTGGAATCGGAGAGGCGAAATGACGCCAGTTGGTGAAAGCCTTCAATAAGCCAATTGGCCAATATGTCTTCTCTCCTCTCGATGAAAGCGAAAGTAAACGTGGGGACATGGAATGTCCGCACGATGTTTGAACCCAGCAAGGCAGCCCAGACTGCAAACGAGATGAGAAGGTATCACATTGAAGTGCTTGGAATATGCGAAAGCAGATGGAATGGGAGTGGACTCTTCAAACTGTCAACTGGAGAATCAATAATATACTCCGGTCACTCAGACGACAACCACGAGCACAGCGCACTGAGTTATGGAGTGGCTATCATGATGTCCCCAACAGCATCGAAGGCTCTCATACAGTGGGAGCCAATCTCCTCCAGGATCAGATCATGACACCAAGATTCAACTCAAAAGGAAGGAAGGTCACATTCATATAATGCTACGCTATACACCTACAAATAATGCAGAGCAAGAGAAAAAGGAGGGATTCTACAGACAACTGCAATCAACACTGGACAAGACGTCAGTTGGAGATATCAAAATTCTAATGGGTGACATGAATGCCAAACTGAGAGGGGACAACACAGGAAGAGAACAAACCATGGGTCGAGAAGCACTTGGTGAGGTGATGAACGAGAATGCAGAATTGTTTGCAGAATTCTGTGCATTCAACGATTTGGTGATTGGAGGCAGTGTGTTCAAGCACAAAGATATCCACAAAGTGACATGGATTTCACCAGATGAACACACTAAAAATCAAATCGACTTAATCTCAATGTGAAGAAAGTGGAGACGCAGTCTACTTAACACAAGGGGAGCAGATGTAGGCTCAGACCACTATCTAGTGCAAGGAACCTTCCAAATCAAGTTAAAAGCCTTCAGGGAAGCTGGTGATAGACCTCAATTCAAGTACAACACTCGGAAACTGAAGGATGAAACTACAAAGGAGATCTTCACGTCAGCCATCCCATCAAGACAAAATGGGAGATATCGAGGAACATTCCTGAAGAAACCTGTGTGGATGAACACTGGAAGTCTTTGAAAGAGATGTGGAAGGGAATCTGCATAACCGTATTATGAAGTAAGAAGAAAGAAGACAATGAATGGATTTCGATGGACACATGGAAGCTGATAGAGGTGGGAGAGGAGGATGGTGAAGCAGAAGATGAACCAGTGCAAGGATGAACAACGGGAAGAGGAACTGAGTACAATGTATAAAACACTACACTGGACAAAGAAGTGAAGAAGAGTGCGCCCAAATACAAAAGACACTTCCACAACACACTGGCAAGTGAAGCAGAACAGGCTGCAGGTGGGAGGGATAGAGACCTGACAACATTATATCAAATAACCAGGTTACTGCTGTTTGGGAAGAGATCAACACAGCACACATGAAACCAATAAAAGATGATGACGGAAATTTAATTACGAAAGAAGAGAAACAAAGGAAACAATGGGCCGACCACTTCAAGAAGCTCTTGAATCGACCACCACCTGCACTTCGTCAACAAATACCACCTACAGCCCAGCCACAGAACTACAAATGAACATAAATCCTCCAACAAAAGTCGAAGTCCTGAACACCATAAAGCTACTGAAATGTGGGAAAGCAGCAGGACCAGATGGGATCCCACCAGAAGCACTGAGAACAGGCGCAGAGACTACAGTGGACATGCTCACACCACACAACTATTGCAGAAGGTGTGGAAGGAAGAGAAGAGAAGGTACCTGGCTGTCGATTGGAAGAAGGGTTACCTTGTCAAACTCCCGAAGAAGGGAGACCTCAGTGTTTGCAAGAACTATCGCGGAGTCATGCTCCTGTCCCTGTCCACTGCAAGCAAAATATTAAGCCACATCATCCTGGAGAGACTAAAGGATGTAATGGATTCAAAACTACGACCGGAACAGGATGGCTGGCTGGCTGTATTCAGGAAGTACAAATCATGTGTGGACCAAATTGCAACGCTACACTACGCATCATCATAGAACAGAACATAGAATGGAAATCAGCTCTCTATCTCAACTTTATCGACTTTGAGAAGGCCTTTGACAGCGTCGACCGAGAAGTAATTTGGCAGGCAGTTGCTTCAACACTATGCAATACCGCAAACCTTTATCAATGTCATTCAACAACTATATGAAGACGCCACATGCCAGCCAAGTAATTCACATTGGGAAGCTCAGTGATGCCTTTGAAGTGAAGTGAAGACAGGAGTGAAACAAGGCTGTCTACCATCACCCATGATATTCCTGATTGTGGTCGACTGTACTGGATCATGCAAC